TTATACATATATTAAATATATAATATTATATATATATATGTATATATATACACAGTATATAATATTATATATATAACTGGGGGTATACGGTATAAGCCATCTACTACTTGGAGGAGTCATCCCACGAATCGGAAGTGGTTAGAAACCATAGATAGTTCAGCCACGAAAAGTAGGTGCTATGACCCACGAAAAGGGGACTTACTTACCAGGGGGTATCCTCCAAGTAGCTAGTTGGTGGTTGAGCCACCCCTCTGAAAAATATGAAAGTCAGTTGGGATGATTATTGCCAATATATGGGAACATAAAAAATGTTCCAAACCACCAACCAGGTAGTCAATATTTGGTGTTTCACCACACTAAGCGGGTTACAAACCCAGTTTGAAGTAGGGTAAGGCAATGTCCAGGTGTAACTGGATTGAACTAACCCACACAAATCAGGAATGCCATTTGGTTATTTAACATAAGTATGGAACATGTGCCCATTTTGGGTGATTTATCATGATTTACCTATTGAACATGCTGATTTTCAATATACAGCTATGTTCAACAACCCGAGGGTAAGCTATTTGTGGAAGATTTCTGCCGTTGAGGTCACTATGATCTAGGCACATGACATAAATGGTTTGCTTGTTGGAAACTGCGTCTGTGCATACAATATATATATATACACATACATGACATGATATAATATGATATACACATACGTTCATCATATTATATGCATTCATATACCATATATACACATACAGATGCAAATATATTCCCATCAATTACCCATGTTGCATACATCTACACATCAGGAGATCTGGATCCAAACCCTAGCGCGCTTCTATTTACATCAAAATCTCGTGACCTCGCAGCCTCAGGTCGTTCTCATCTCCGGATTGAAGAAAAACGTAGAAAACCCCGTGATACCACCATTGATGTTGCTGAATCCTCTGAAAAACAAACCCTGGTTTCAAACTGGTTTCACCATGTTTCATGTTTCATGGTTCAATCGCCATTTCCAGGTGTTCCCGGTCCTCCTCGAGGTGCTCCTTGCCTCGCTCACGCCAGCGCTCCAACTCCTGGATGTCATCGATTTCTTCCGATATTTGGGGGTTTCCTAAAATGCTGGGGGTACCCCCAAATCATCCAAAATTCAACCATTTGAGTGAGTATTGAGACCCATGGGTTTGGGAACCCCCCATCTGACGAAACTCCCATTTGGAGAATATTCTGTTTTTTTAGCTCATTTCAGAACAACTCCAAAGCAAAAGGAGATTTATGGGATTTAGCCCAGGCAAAATATGATGGTTATTCCAGGGATTCTATCCAGACACAACTACCGGGGGCAGCCAACCAAAAAGGGTAGGAAAATGCACAAAAAAATAGTAATTCAACCCCCGAAAAATGTTTCAGCAAACAAACAAGAGGAATACTTCAAAATAACCAACAGTGACCAACAGTATGTACAGAGATTTAAGGATATCAATCAACCAATCTGGGAACATGAACAAACAATCAAAGGATGTACAGGAAGTGAGGATGTTTCACTTTTCACATCGCCTAAAAATAGATAAAATTGGGGCAACGACCACGTTCAACTGACCCACCCAGTTTTCCAATGTTCATCCAAGGAAAAATAGAGGGAGTACCCCACCATTTAAGGGACAAACCCATGACAAACCCATGTATCATATTGTTATATATCCTTTTTTGTATGCCCACTATTTGTTATATTGTGTACAACTCTGGATCACTTTGCTGTTTTTTATGTTGTTTACATTCACAAACTCTTCACCCACGAGTGATGGTTAAACCATGATTAAAGCTCTATCATTGATGATGAACCCCACATTGTTAGGTGAATCCTCCATGTTTGTCCATCCCAAAGGTCCCAAAGCCAAAAAAATTGGACCAACCCCTCAGGTCGAGTTGCATGGTCATAGTACATGGTTGATTCGCCTGGCATTTTCACATTGTGCACCTCAGATCTGTGGCGTAAAGGGTGTTTTTTCCCAGGTGTCTGTCTGGTGTCGACCAAAAATGCCGGAACTTCACCGATCGCGATGCGAATGTCACCAGCACAGATGTGTCTGAACATGGGATATCTCGAATTCATGGCATTTTTAAATGCACCAGGCACCATGGGAACATTTCAATTGAACGACAGATTCGAAACGTGCACATATTTGAGCAACCCCAGATCCATGTCGTACAATTGGAGACAGTCCATGCCATAACCACAGACACATCGTGCGGAAAGTTTGAAGGTGGGAAAAATAACAGTGGTTTGGTGTGTTTATAACCAAACCATAGTCGCGATATGTGATGATATATACATAATTCTGCATACATAACCAGCAATAGGATGAGGAGCAGCAATTTCAAGGGTACTCCGGTTGGCCGTCGGGTCTCACCGTAAACTGCTTATAATGGTCCCCTTATTAAACCAACACGGACACGAGCTCGTTGCCACAGCAACCCTTTTTTGTGGGTTTCCGAACGATGCCGGAACTGATGCAGGGAGGAGTCTTGTCCTCCTTCTCCTCTTTTTTGCGACCGAAGAGACCTTGCAAGTCAGCGTTTACATGCGTTTGCTGGGAATATATCGCTCGGGATTGTCCAATAATCAGATGTTGCTCCCAGAGTGGTTGATCACTTTTGATGATCTTACTTGACTACTAGGTTTTCGATTTTTCGATCAGGAATCATCTTCCCAAAAATGGACACCATGCTACTTCGTTGATCACTTGTGATCATCTTCCCAAAAATGGATCTCTGAAAAGACCCAGAAAACAACGTCAAAAAAACCCTGCAGCCACTGCAGCCCAAACCAGGAATTGATCATGTGATTGGGAAACTTGGTTCCCCACTTAGTAGGGAATATGTACTGTATACCCATAGTTCCTTGCTTTGTACCCAGGACTTGAGGGGGCCCACAGCCCACATGTTCATGAATTTTCCTCCAAATACAATGTTGTAGGGTTCAAATTGCTTTAATTTAAACCGTTCTGTTGGCCGGTAGTGCTTATTTGTTGTTTGGGATGTTCCGGATGGAAAGAAACGGTTGCCACTTTGGGATCAAGATTGGAAAACTGCAACCAAGCAACGTCCGAACATATCGAATTGAAATTTTCTCGCGGCCCGGATGGTCCAGGAATGAAATGGCTGCTGTGTAGCGAAAACACACATCATATTTATAGTATATATATATATATATTTCACTGGCGACTTCAGGTTCCTAAATTGGAGGTACCTACCATATGTAAGGCCTATGTATGGCCTATGTAAGGCCTATGTAAGGCCTATGTAAGGGAATATCCCCACAAAATATGGCCTTATATGGTACAGTACCTCCATTTTAGGATCCTGGAATTTCCATTGACATATATATATATATACATGCATACACAATATGTCCACCTCTGTACGCATGATTACTCATGTAGCTGCCTGTATATGTGTCTATGTAAAAATGGGGATATAGAAATGTGGTTTCATATTTAAAAAAACAATTACATGCATTGTTAATCATGTTTATCTATATACCTCATATGTTATACATATAATTAATACATTATTTCTATCTATATATATATATTGTGTAACGCCTATTCATATCATTCATATTTACTAATATATCTTACACAATGCGTGAAAACATCAATAAAATAAATAAATGCTGGAAATTTGTCCGAATATCAAAATGTACAAAAAAAATCAACTGCTCTCCCACCTCAACATATGGAAACTCTGATATCTGATATCCTCATCGTGCGCTTCAATGATTACAACCCACTACACGGTGATCATCGTGCATCATGAGTTGATCAAAATTGGGTACTCCAAAGTGTGTGGTTTAAGATGCATTAAGATGTCAGTAGATTCACATTTGCATGGAAACTCCACCATGAATGTACAGTACATCATTTTGCTGGAAAACAATGAATTTCCAGTCTTTGTCCGTGTGTCTATCTCAGGGTTTCTTGGTCGAATCGCTCTTACTAAAGCTCGGCGGAGGCTAAATTAAACTACAACAAAAAAAATGGCTGGAAAACCCGGTTGCAGTATCCTGGATATTGTAGATATTCATTCTGTTAAGCGGTGTCAACCCATCCAAAAATTAGAAAAGTCAATTCCGATTGTCACACATCATTTGTTGGGTGGTAAATAAATTCATCATTGAAACCAGCTACTAGTAGAGATTTTCGTATACCCACTAATTTAGTCGAGTATCTGTGACTTACTGATCTTACTGTAAGCAATTATCCATTCATGACTTGTAAAATAAAATTGATTTGGGAACTATCATGTGGCAACGGGAAACTCTCACTAGCTCCACCTGGCTCCTTCCGTTTTTGAAAAAATGGAGCGATCAGTTCCTCTTCGGGGATGAAACTGATGTGCTGGCTGAAACTGACTGAAATTGATTTGTAGATACCTAGCATTGAACAGTCTATGTACAGTGTGTTGCTTCCATCTTAGAGTCAGTTGGTCAGTTGATCTCCCCTTTTTAGCGCTGTCCTGGCTGTGGAAAGCTGCTGGCGCGATGGTCTCCGGAGGAGGTGCCAAGCAACTTCCAGAACAAAATTTTCTCAATTGCAGGTCCCCAGCCATATCAATATCAAACATTGTCATGCATGTTATTACTGGAAACGATGATACATGACAATGATCATAGCCATGTCATTTTTTTTGCAGCCATGATCAAACATGGCTATTGATCATGATATGGCTATTGATAAGAAACATAAATACAAAGAAACTGCAAGATCAAAGGGTTTGAGCTGCCATAAGTATCAGATTTACTTCAAGAACTGTCCATTAACCTAATCATTAACCATGCAGTGGTGAATGCTAGGATCCATAGTTATTTTTTGGCGGGCTGGCTATCCCCATCTTGGTCGATGTAACAATAAAGTTAAGTTTAGTTGGATTCCTGCTTTGGTTAATCTTATGTGCTATGTTTGTATATGTTTGTATATGTTTGTTGGTTGACTCCTGATGGATATGTGGCCGAGGCCATCTCCCAGCGAGACCATCCAATGGGAAGATATCGAGAGCGGATCTAATGCCCTTCTCAGCTTGGGAGCCTGCGAACATCCATGTCTCAGGAAGAACAGTGGGCATAGAACCAATACAAGAATTAGGGGTCTTGCAAATTGTCCAGATACGAAGTGGTAACTATTTTCAAATCCATTTATACTAATTATCCAAATAGGTTTTAGCCAACTCTATAAGATCTATAAGAAAGACAAGAGGCTAGTATTTCTGGTCCATCCCCAACCCGTATTCTTGCCAAAAACACATGCAGACCATTATTCCCCCACTATTCGGGGGGCGGGTTAAACCTGGAAAATTACCGGGATCAACACAATTACGGGATGAAAATGGTACTGTTATGCAGGCAAAAATTCGATTCGAGATTCACAATGCCGAGGGTTCTGCTCTCAGGATATTTAGAACATTCCAACATTGAAGAGGAACCCACGACTTCAATCAGAGCCTCAATATCAGGGAGGCAAAGGAAGTAGAGCCTCTTGCAATTTCAAGCATGGAACATCATAGAACGATTTTATATCGAAGTGCCGTCCAATACCTACACATCTACTGTCAGAAAACCTGCCTTGGTTGACTAAGTCAATAGTATTCAATACCCATACCGTAAACATGCTTGTCAATTGGGGTCCAAATCATTCGTACTAAAAAACGGAGAAGCACTATAACTATCTATAACTTATATTAGAGAATGTCAACAAGGATACGATAAAACCGACAGACTATAATATCGTTTGCCATGTTTCCCTTACGTTTGTCTCAAAATTTGATAAAATGGCTCAGTTCAGCCTGGCAATTAGCCTAGTTTTCAGACCAAAACACCTTGTTGCTATAGGATCCTTTCATCAGTTCCGATTGTCTCATAAGTCTTGACCCAACCACCACGGGCTCGTCATTTTTTGTCCCAGTTGCGCAGCGAAACCGCGCAGCTGAGCCAAAAATGGAAAAAAAAGGAATGCAGAAAATCTATGAAAATCTATCATGATTAGCTTGGAATTTGAAATCAAATTACTACAGTAAACTCATCACAGTGTTTGATTCTACTACCATGAGCTTTAGCAAGCCAGGGTTGCTCCCAACACCCCAGGATACCCAGCTGGCTAAAAATGTAGGTTAAATCCCCATGATGGTTAAACCCCCATTGAGCAACACTTCCTTGGAGGATCATCCCATTTAACTGGAGAATAACCAAAAACTTTAAAAAAAACATGCAAAAATATGGGATCACCGCAGGAATTGGGGACTAGACTCTAGACAAAATCTCTAGGGTCAACTGGGTCAACTAGCACAAATGTGGAAAAGCCATGAAAAGCCCATAGTTATAGATCTTTTCCAAACGGGAAACCATGGCTTTTCCACATCGACTTCGGTCTTCGTTGAAACGCCAAAAACCACCGGGGTTTTTCAGGAAGTTCATCCCGGTGCCACCTCGAGATCAAGGCCTCGAAAAACAGCGGTCAATGGTGATCTATCCAACGAGGTTGAAACCATGGGGATTTATCGGATTTATCAACAATGCTGATTTATCCATTAAGAATTGGGGATTTATAGCTGATGGCTAAGTTGGCTAGACTAGTGGCTAACGATCGGATTTATGTTGATATACTGTATCTACAGTTGGATGGAGTTATACGGCTATATAAATATCAATTTATAACTAGGAGGGCCTTCTTGCAGGGCAACGACAAAAATATCAGGAAGTGTTTTTGGGATGTCTGACTCATTTCACGGCATTCTGGTGGAGGATTGCAGCGAAAAAGAGACCCTCTCGTTTCTTCTTGAAACAGGAGAAAAACTGGCAAACCAGAAGCACAGCAAGCTACGTCTTATGAGTCTGGGAATGAACCACCCATCTTAAGATATCTTTTTCACCTGGCCTAGAAAACACAAGAGCATTTCTTCCATACCCGCTTTCTGCTTCACTACGGCTTGAAACTTCCACAGGTCTAATCGGAATTTCTGGTACAACCTACCTGGGAACATATTGCAAGCTGGTACGAACCTAAAACGAGTGTGTTTGAAAATACGCTCCCCAAAATGTTCCACATTAGACTGGTAATCTCAGGAGGAAACCACCCAAATCCATTCTTCATTGGTTAAATATAGTATTGAATATGGGTCAAGTCCCACTTTTAGATGGCTAAATCACAAGTTTTGATTGGTTACCATAGATTAAATCACTTTTAGTACTGGTCTTCATTGGTTGAATATAGGATTGAAAAATGTCTAAATCCCATTTTTTTGGGTAAATCCACAAGTTGTTCAATGTTAGCGCGGGGAACTCGGCCTGCTATTTCTTGCCCGGCCGGCCGGCCAGTCTGTCTTGATTCCGGCCGGCCGGCCGGCTAGGCGTGTGTGAGCTACGTCCGGCCGGCCGGCCGGCCGCCTGGATACCTTTGCATTGGCGTAGTTTTTGGCTGGCCGGCCGGCCGGCCGGCTGCTTCGTTGGCTGGCTGGCTGGCTGGCTGTCTGGCTGTGCCTTCAATTGGCTAAGGTCTTGGCCGGCCGGCCGGCTGACGGCTGGCTGTACCTCCAATTGGCTATGGCCGGCCGGCCGGCTGGCTGGCTGCTTGGCTAGTTGGCTGGCTGGCACGCTGGCTCGGCTGGTGGGCTTAGCTACTTGGTTCCGGATTTTAGTTAAAGTAAGCGCTAAATAGAATGTAAAGGACATGTTAAAATTCTGTAAGCTTTAAGAAATCTCAAACGAAATATGCGATAGTATGACCGCATAAATGTTAGGTAGATAGCGTATATGTTAGATAGAATGTTGAAGAATGGTAGACAGAGTAGGTGATAAAACTGGAATATGTGTTAGAGGAAATATGTTAGGGTTAGATAGAATGTTAGATTGAAGGTCGGGATTATTTGGCAGCTATAATGTAAAACATTCTTCCCCAGACAGTGTGTCTACACTGAGGGGTTCTGACGGTAGATGCGAAGGTTGGTGCTTGATCAGGGTGGTCACTCTCTTCTGCGGCATGTTACCGGTAAGTTTTCGTATAAAGCGTCGCGTATAAAATCTTGACATGCGTTTCGACTGCGCAGGCTCGCGCAAAGTGTGTGTCTGCGTTTTGGGCATTTTTCATGTAAATTTCCGTATGAAGTGGCTCTTGTGAAATCTTGACATGCGTTTCGATGTGGCAGTCTTGCATGGTCTTTGATTTCATTCATTTCAGTTTTTCATTCATTGCAGTCATTTCATTCATGCCATTCATTTCGTTCATTTCATTACTTTTATTCGCATCATTCGTTTCATTCATTTCCTGCATTTCAGTCATTTCATTCATTCCTTCAATTCACTCAATTCAGTCATGCAATTCTTTTCACTCGTTTCATTCCTTTCATTTCTTTCAATTATTTCATTCATTTATTTCCATGCATTTCATTCTTTTCGTTCATTTCAATCATTTCATTCATCTCATTCATGTCATACATTTCAATCATGTCATTCGTTTCATTCGTTTCATTCATTTCATTCGCTTCATTCGTTTCAGTCGTTTCATTCATTTCGTTCATGTCAATCATTTCATTCATGTCATTTGTTTTTTCGTTTCATTCATTTCATGTGATTCATTCGTTTCAGTCATTGCATTCATTTCATTCACTATGATCGTTTCATTCATTTCATTCATTTCATGCGTTTCATTAATTTCCTTCATTTCAGTCATTTCAATCCTTTCATTCATTTCATTCATTGCATTCATGTCATTCGTTTCATTCGTTTCATTCATTTCATTCGTTTCATTCGTTTCAGTTATTTCATTCATTTCGTTCATGTCAATCATTTCATTCATGTCATTTGTTTTTTCGTTTCATTCATTTCATTTGTTTCATTCGTTTCATTCGTTTCATTCATCTCATTCATTTCGTTCATCTCGTTCATTTCATTCATTTCATCTATTTTTTGCGTTTCATTCGTTTAATTCATTTCATGCGTTTCATTCCTTTCATTCATGTCGTTTATTTCGTTCAATTCATTCATTTCATTCGTTTCATTTGGTTCATTCGCTGCATTCAGTTCATGTCATGTCATGTCATTTGGTACATTTCATTCATTTCGTTCATTTTATTCATTTCAGTCGTTGCATTCACGTCATTCATTTCATTTCATTTGGTTTCATTTCATTTCAGCCATTTCACTCATGTCAGTCATGTCAGTCATTTCGGTCATTTCAATCATTTCAATCATTTCATTCATTTCATTCATTTCGTTCATGTCATTCATTTCGTTCATTTCATTGCTTTTATCCGCTTCATTCGCTTCATGAATTTCATTCATTTCAATCATTTTTTCCGCTTCATTCATTTCATTTCATTCATTTTGTTCGGTTCATTCGTTTCATTAATTTCACTCATTTCATGCGTTTCATTCATTTCATTCATTTCGTTCATTTCGTTCATTTCATTCGTTTCATTCCTTTCATTCGTTTCATTTGTTTCATTTGTTACATTCGTTTCATTGCTTTCATTCCCTTCATTCATTTCATTCATTTCATCCGTTTCATTCATTTCATTCATTTCATGCATGTGTATCATTCCATTCATTTGATTCCTTTCATCGTTTGATTTATTTCATTCGTTTCATGCATTTCATTCGTTTCATGCATTTCATTCATTTCATCCGTTTCATTCATTTCATTCATTTCATGCATGTGTATCATTCCATTCATTTGATTCCTTTCATCGTTTCATTCATTTCATTCGTTTCATGCATTTCATTCGCTTCATGCATTTCATTCGTTTCATGCATTTCATTTAGTTCACTCATTTCATTCATTTCCTTCGTGTCATTCGTGTCATTTCTTTCATTTTGTTCATTTGTTTCATTCATTTCACTCATTTTTAGTCATTTCATGTCTTTCATGTCTTTCATGTCTTTCATGTCTTTCATTCACTTCATCATGTCGTTCATTTCATTCGTTTCATTCATGTCATTCATTTGTTTCATTGCATTCGTTTCATTCGTTTCATGCACTTCATTCATTTCATTCATGTGGTAAGTTTCATTCCTTTCAATCGTTTCATTCATCTCATTCATGTCATTCGTCTCATTCATTTCATTCGTTTCGTTCATTTCATTCGTTTCATTCGTTTCATTCGTTTCATTCATCTCATTCATTTTGTTCATTTCGTTCATTTCATTCATTTATTGCGTGTCATTCCCTTCATTCATGTCATGCATTTCATTGATTTCATTCATAACTTTCATTTCGTTAATGCATTTATTTCATGTGTTTCATCCGTTGCATTCATTTCATGTCATGTCATTTCATTGCATTTCATTTCATTTGATTCGTTTCATTCATTTCGTTCATTTTATTAATTTCTTTCGCTTCAATTCGTTCCATTCCTTTCATTTAATTCATTTCATTTCGTTTGATTTCATTTCATTTCAGCCATTTCGGTCATTTCGGTCATTTCAATCATTTCATTCATTTCGTTCATGTCATTCATGTCATTCATTTGGTTCATTTCATTATATTTCATTCATGTCATTGCTTTTATTCGCTTCATTCATTTCATTCATTCGTTTTATTTTGATTCATTCGTTTCATTCATCTCACTCATTTCATGCGTTTCATGAATTTCATTCATTTCGTTCATTTCGTTCATTTCATTCGTTTCATTCATTTCACTCGCTTCATTCGTTTCATTTATTTCATTCACTTCATTTATTTCATTCATTTCATTCATTTTCTCCATGTCTTTCATTTCATTCGTTTCATTCGTTTCATTTCGTTCATGCGTTTCATTCATTTCACTCATTTCAGTCATTTGATTTCTTTCATTCATTTCATCATTTCGTTCATTTCATTCGTTTTATTCATTTCATTCATTTGGTTCATTTCATTTGTTTCATTCTTTTCATGCATTTCATTCATTTAATCCATGTCATTCGTTCATTCGTTTCATTCCCTTCATTTGTTTCAGTCTTTTCGCTCATTTCAGTCATTTCATTTCTTTCATTCATGTCATCATTTCGTTCATTTCATGCGTTTCATTCATTTCATTCATTTGTTTCATTTCTACGGTTCATTGGTTTCATCCGTTTCATGCATTTTATTCATTTCATTCACGTCATTCGTTTCATTCCCTTCATTTGTTTCATTCATTTCACTCATTTCAGTCATTTCAATCCTTTCGTTAATTTCGTTCATTTCGTTTATTTCATTCATTTCTTTCAATTTTATTTGTTTCGTTCGCTTCATGTGTTTCATTCATTTCATTTTTTCATTCAATTCAGTCATTTCATTCGTTTCATTCATTTCATGCATTTCATTCCTTTCATTCATTTCAGTCACTTCATACATTTCAGTGATTTCATTAATTTCATTCATTTCAGGCCTTTCAATCATTTCATTCCTTTCATTCGTTTCAGCTATTTCATTTCTTTCATTCATTTCATTCATTTCATTCATTTTATTCATGTCATTTCTTTCATGTTGTTCATTTTTTTCACTTCTTTCATGTCATTCATTTCGTTCATGTCATTTGTTTCATTTGTTTCATTTGTTTCATTCGTTTCATTCATTTGAGACATTTCAGATATTTCATTCATTTCAGTCATTTCATGTTCATTTCATTCAGTTCACTCATTTCAATCATTGAAATCATTTCATTCCTTTCGTTCATTTGAGTCACTTCATTCATTTCATTTATTTCATTCCTTTCATTCATCTCATTCATTTCGTTCATCTCATTCATTTCATTCATTTCATTCGTTTCAGTCTCTACAGCTATTTCAGTCCTTGCGTTCCTTTCATTCATTTCATTCATTTCATGTATTTCGCTCATTTCTTTCAATTCAAGTCAGTCACTTCAATCATGTCATTCCTTTCCTTCATTTCATTCATTCCAATCAATTCTTTTGTTGCATTCGCTTCATTCATTTCATTCATGTCATTCCCTTCATTCGTTTGGTCCTTTTCATTTGTTTCATTCGTTTTGTTCATTTTCATTCCTTTCATTCGTTTCAATAATTTCACTCCTTTCAATCATGTCATTCCTTTCGTTCATTTCATGTCTTGGTTTCGTTTCATTCGTTAGATTCGTTTCATTCGTTTCATTCAATGAACTTCTTTCATTCGTTTTCATTCGCTTCATTCATTTCATTTGTTTCATTCATTGCATTCATGTCAGTCGTTTCTTTCATTGCATTCATTCATTTCATTCGCCGGGCTTGGTTTTTGGCCCGCCGGCCGGCCGGCCGACCGGCTGGCTGCCACGCTGGCTGGCTGGCTGGCTGTCGCTTGGCTTCAGCTGGCGCCACGGTGGCTAGCTGGTTCTTGGTTTGTGGCGTCCGGCCGGCCGGCCAGCTGGGGCTTGGTTTGTGGCCGGCCGGCCAGCTTGGGCTTGGTTTTTGGCCGGCCGGCCGGCCAACTGGGGCTTGGTTTTTGGCCGGCCGGCCGGCCAGCTGGGGCTTACTTTGTGGCCGGCTGGCTGGCTGGGTGTGAAATAGCGGGCCGCACTAAGCTCGCAATCGTTAAATGACTAAATCAATGTGAAATCCACCCATTCCAAGTCCCACAAAATGGCTAAATCAGGTTGAATCCCATTTTTCCCAGCACTTTTGATGGTCGAATCCCAAGCCACTCAGTCACCATCGGATGATTTGAACCCATGAGACTCAGAGTGATATTGATTGATAATGGTATACAATATGATAATATTAGTTAATGACTAATAATATGGTAAATGATAATATTATGATAATACTCTTTATATAGTTAATATTAGTTAATGATTAATAATTAGCAATATGGTACTGTATATAATTAATATCAATGGCTAAATGAGTATATATATATAATATATATAATCATACTGGTTGGTGATTATGCATTCATCATTCATGGTCTTTCCGGTGATGTTTCTACTTCCGCCAAATTCCACTCACCAAGAGACTTCCCCGTGGTTGATTTGGCTCCCTGGTCATTGGAGCAATCACCCAGAATAGCCACGGCATGCCACGGGAGACCACACAGAGATTCAGGATATTTTCTTCAAGATAGAGAATCATGAGATTCAAGCATCAAAAACAGGGGATCAACCATCAGTTTAAGTGTGCGTTTGAACAGTTTTACATAGTTTTACCATCAAGAAGAGGGATGCACCACTGAATAACCTGTACAGTATAGCTTTGCCAAAAAATTGGGGAATACTGTACCCCGCCTAATTTATGACATGTGGGGAGGGGTAAAAATGACATCTTCAACCATGAGATTTTGGTGTACAATATGTTCAGACAAACCAAAACACTGATGAGAATCTGACCAACCTTCACGGTTAGGTATATTGATGAATGCGTGATGTGTATTATATATATATATATACATATGTGGATCTTTATACAGGACTCGCGCCTAAAAGCGAAATATCCTGTCGAAAACCCTAAACATCCAACATGACATTTACCACTGGTTTAGGGTTTCATGTTTTTATTTTTTATGTTGTCATGGGTTGATGATTATATATGCTATATAATATCTGAAATAAGGCCTCCAATGGGAGCGATTACTAGCCGTCAACCCGGTGACGGAATACCAGTGAGGTCATGATCGTCCATTCGTCCAGCATTCCGTGAAATATCACCAGTATCTTCCCAGATTTGCTGGTTAAATCCCATGATATTCCCATTCTGTTCCCACAAAATCCCATTAGATTCTCATGATCATTGTATTCCCATTTGAGTTGCCAAAAAAAATATTGAACTTCCCGCTACCAGTCGGTTTAGTGGTGATCCAGTACCTAGCCAAAATCGGCGCCTGCAGCAGCTTTTCCGGACAAAGACCATCCTGGCCAACGTGGCGCGTGGCGTTGGTGGCTTTGAGGCCCAAAGAATTGGGGATTTTAGTGACAGCAACAAGAATGGACAGATAAGCATAGATACCTTCTGCATAGATACTAACATGGCTATGTGTTTTTTTTCTCTCATGTTTAATACGTAGGTAAACCACATATCAATGGCTATGTGTAATAGCTCTGTTAATTTTACCGCAAGGTAATTATGCAACAAAAACAGGAGGGAAACTGGAAAGCGCTGGATTTGAGGTCTTGAATTGAGAGAGAGAGAGAGAGAGAGAGTGTCAGTGATCCGCCATTTCCTACAGTAGTGGTCCGAGCATAATTTTGTATCCGACAAACATATACTAACATGGACTGGTGCTTGGGTCAATAAACAGAAACAAATCAACAATAGTTTGTGTTTCCAACCAGTTATTGTTGGCAACTTAGCATTTGGGAAGCACAGGTCGAAACACCAGGTATCCAAGTCTCAGGGATGCAGTTGCAGTAAGCCAGGCACAAAAAAAGAAACAGGGCTGAATGAGTGTGATTTGGGCCATATAAATAAAAACAATAAGATATATACATATATGTATATCTATTATATATATTATACATATATATTATATATATTATACATATATATATATTATACATATATATATATATATTATACATATATATATATTATACATATATATATATATGTGTGTGTGTGCGTGTCAGTCATACATGTACTGGTATTGGTTGATTTAGTTGCATGGTGTTGGTCCTATCCCCATTTCCATGGCGTTCAACTTTCCCCCATACACAAATGTGATATAGCTTTGTCCAAAAAAGGGCTTCCCACAGTGAAACCTCTCTTTCCCTAATGACCATCAATTCGGGTCAACCCAGTTTGAGACAAAGCATGACAACCTCATTTCATCAAGCTTGGATAAATCATAAAAAAGATCCCCATTTCATGTCGCTTGCTCAAATGACTCAGTTGTCCGCATGTTTGATGCTACCCTCTGGTAAACTAACATAGCTATTGAAAATGGCCCATTTATAGTGAGTTTACCCATTCAAAATGTTGATTTTCAATGGCTATGTTAAATTACCAGAGGGTAAACCCAGTCAGTGTTTCATGGGGTCAACCGGGTCAACTGCCACAGGGTGCCCCGGCAAACAAGCTGCTGGGCGCCGCGTGCCGCTGATCCCGCGTGCCGTCATAGACACAAGGCTCCCCGGTGCGGCCGGCTGGTAACTCGGTGAGTCAGAGATGGTCCATGTCGCTATTTAGTGTAGTGTTATATAATCATATCTATATATATATATACATAGATATATAACACTACACTAAATACTAATAGAGACATAAACATAATAGTGTATAATAGTGTCATATTATATACATACATACATAATGACATATAGATACAGTACATATTAAAAACTATACATATACATACATATGCATGCAAATATGTTATATGTATATACGTGTGTGTACACCTTAGATTTGTCCAGAATGCTGATTGCTTTGTGAATGCATGTTTATCGGATATCGACCGGGATTAATTAATAATATATTTATACATAAGCCAATGTTGTGCAGGAGTGGTTGCAACACATTGACATCTTGATGATTGAGCCTATTTAGAGCATATGTAGCGACCATCATTTTCCAGACCGGCAAAAGCTAGCCAGATTTCATGAAGGCAACCAGGCATTCAGCAGCTGGTTGGTGGTTTTAACCATCTTGAAAAATATGAAAGTCAATGGGAAGGATGACATCCCATATATGAAATGGACAAATAATCAAAATGTTTGAAACCACCACCCAGATCAGTATGATACAATTTTACCCTCATATCTTTAGGTCCAGGACATTCCAGGTTTCGCGTTTCGGTTTCGATCCATCCCCAGTCGCCAAGCATAAATGGGGCTCAGGCTATCACCATCAATAGGGGATAATAGGGGATTGTTTATGATTTGGTCAACCTCACTAGCAGGAAAACAAAGACCCTTGAAATCACTAATTCATCATCATGTTCCTATATTTTCGCTATAAAACATTCTCACTGCAAATTTCACCATTTCTGAGACACACCCATGCGCTTTCCCATTGGTGACACCTAAGGTGTCAGTCCGAAAGCCTTGGCCCCACACTGTTTTGTACTTGGGATCCACCAAGTCCTCAGAATCGCTGATCCGGCCATTGTTGGCTGCATCCCAGAGGGAAAAGCATGGTCAACGCTGTCTGAAACTGCAACCCGAGAGTTGCGAGGAAAGGCAAAGTCATTTGACCCGCACTGGGTTCAAGGGAAAATTGAAACCATATATATATATATATATGTATGTATATATATATATATATAGAGAGAGAGAGAAATTGGACGCAAGTAAATATGATATATATATATATATATTAGATGTAGATAGAAACCATCTGTATATGAGACCAAACAAGTAAATATATCTATATACTGTATACATATATTACTTTCGTATATAGATCGGGATTTGCACCACAAATTTGCCCCAATTCCAGAAAATCTGGTGCCCCATTCCTTTCATTGGTTTCTACTCGGATGTACTTTCAGATTGGAGCCATGAAGTAACCCAGTGATGTATGGGATACTGCAGATACTCCAGTGCTGCCAAGTATCATCTGGTCGCAGCATCACGCCGGATGGGGCATAGCATTCATCCTGGGATGGGATGACAGTCGCCATTTGGTGAAATGACATTCACAGTTCGCCATGGAAAGATCCACCCCATTTTTATAGCTAGGTAAACTCCATCTATTTCGATGCCATCGAAAAACCATGGCGAACGGTGAATGTCATAACCAGAGGGTACATATGCTGTTGACCAAAAAAAAAATGAGACTTCCAGCTGAGAAAAGGGATCATTACTGTATATGAAATGGTGATCCTACTTGGTCAGAATCTTGGAAGCTGTGGTGAAGTCCCCCAGCGAGGTTGAATCAATTTGGATCATCATCAGAGATCGGAGTAGGATGGTCAATAACACTTGAAGTCCCCAAGCAACTGATTTTCCTATGAACAGGTGATAGGTCCTCCGAATTTACACAACGCCAGGTTTTTCCTGCAGGGTCACCCAATTTTCGTCTCCAAAGCACTCCCAAAGTCTTCAGCCAGGACTTCGTGGGAGGCTTTTGGCTCAATCTGTTGGCCTCAAAGTCTTTCGATTCCATGCTGGTCTTCACAGGTCTCAAGGGTTCAGGGTTTTTTTCACAAGGCCCCTATATAATCACAGCCCAGCCATGGGAAGTCGCATTTATTTGTAAAAATCCGAAGGAATTTGGGATAACATATCAAACCAGAGAAGAAGTTAGTAGGTACCCTCTGGCAATTTAACATAGCTATTGAAAATGACCATTTATAGTTGATTTACCCATTAAAAATTGTGATTTTCCATAGCTATGTTAGTTTACAGTACCAGAGGGTAGATTATAATCATAGCATGCATGATTAGTGGATTAAGCTGCCCATTGGCTCGGCCATGAATGGCCTCAACTGCGCTACATGCCAAGAAGACCCGACACGCAATGCCTGGGTCAAATACAGTTAGAACTTGCTGGATTGTCAAGGTATGAGGATGATACAATATGTACATGTATATATATATATGTATATGTACATTATAAATTATATATACATGATATGTACTGGATATATGTATATGATATAGTTATATAAATATGTGTAATCATATAACCATATCATATAAATATATCATGTATATATATATATATATATATCATATATATATATAAGGTGTATATGTGTATATATATATATATATGTATATATTAGTCTTGTATAATGTCCACATCAACGGTATAGACCAGCTATTATTTGCAGATCCAACAGCCCCATGCTTGGGGTCCAGGCTCCACCCTGCCTCAGTGATCCCAGATTCCAGCTGAAAAAATCCAGGTGGGTTTTTAATTTATGCGAAAATTAGATCGGTTTGGACGGACCAAACAAATCCAAAAAATGCCACCTATTTTTACTTGTGAAATTACGTGTCTACTGTTTATAGTGCTTGGAAAAGTGGAAATTACTTTCCAAAGGGTCAAACAACTACAGGGGAAAAAAACACTTATATGCCTAAGGTCAAAGCTAGGTACCTGAAAAGTACTATAATTATAAAAATTTGCAGATTTGGGGTCGGTGGGTCATAAAATTCGACCCACCCATATGGCTTGTATAGCAACAGGCCAAACCTGCGGTACATAGGGCTTTTGATTGTGACCCATAGCAAAATCGATCGGTATGACACAAATCGCTTCAGACCCGATGTCATCCACCTTGAAGTTCTTCCTTAGGGCCAGGAAATCATTTTGCTTGGACCCCCATTTTCTTTTGACACTCTATGACTCTATGACACTCCCAAAGTGTGCCTAGCTTTTCGGCGTCTTTTGGAGTTGCGCAGGTAAAGTCACAACTTTTCCGCATGGTTTCATCAACCAGCAACAAAAACTAATACCATTTTGTTATTTAACATAGCCATGGAAAATCACAATTTTAAATAGGTAAGCCATCTATAAGTGGGCCATTTCCCATGGCTATGTTAAATAACCAGAGGGTAAGCGTTCATCTATTATTTGGGGGTCACCCCTGGATTGAACACCCACGGTTCAGGCAGGCCTTCCAGTCTCTTTTGTGAACTTTGGCAAACGCAGAGCTTCACCAAAGGCAGTCGTACGGAAGTTACAAGTGACTACCCTCTGGTAATTTAACATAGCTATTGAAAATGGCCATTTATAGTGAGTTTTCCCACTAAAAATTGTGATTTTCCATAGCTATGTTAAATTACCAGTGACTATAATAAATGGACTATTGGAATCTGGAAGATGGAACTAGTGACGCGAGTATTTTTTTGGGGGGTTCTGACAACACAAACATCGCATGACTGGCGAAAAAAGGAACTTGCAGAAATCCCTTCTCCATATTTGTTGGTGAAGAGTTCATTTTCGCGGAAACCGATTTAACGGTTTTGCCCCTGCTGATGTGGACAACAGTAAGAAGAAGTCGGCCCCACAACAAGTCTCTCCTTCGCCTCAGGGACCCATCCAGGACTCTGACAGGGGCGTGCGATGATATGGCACATCTACCTGCAAGGTCACACGGGAAAAGCATGCGCCACGTTTTGTTTGTGAATCACCAAATAACAATAAATAACATCCATACAGCATACAAATTCATACAACTTACAGACGTGTCACGTGTGCACAACGATCTGTTGTTATCACTTCTAAGTATCGTCTACAGTACATATATCACATGTATCTTTGTTAATCCGCTGTGGGAATCATACTTGCCTGTTAACAACGGGATTCAATGGCATTCCCAGTTCATGGATGTATGATCATCCCCAATTGATCTTGGATCTATGATGATCCCCAAAACTCATCATCAATGAACCATCATTTATCAATTATATCCACCATTATCCACCTATATCCCCATATACTTTGATGGTTAAAACATGTGAAAACCCTATGAAATGACGAACGAATCATCAACCAACAGGGGACTTCGTTCACACGCCTGAACCAAGCGCGGCACGTAGCCTTGGCTACCAATGTAGACACCCTCCTGGGCGATGGGAGACCCGGGACGGGTTGATAAAACGATAGTCGCGGATCAAATAGAAACATGCTATAGATAATTATAGATAAGTATAGATACATATAGATACATATAGTCTATACACAATTTGATCTTATAATAGTTGATCAATTGCGGGGTTGGGGGCTTAGTAGTTACATTCCTAAAGCCATCCAAAGTTCTTGGCTTGGTGCCACTAGCAGCGTTTTTTTGTCATCTCTCGGCAAGTGTTTTTCTTTTAACCGACTTAGTCGAGTCGAAGTTTTTGGGTTTTCTGAATCTCAACTCAACCCCACCACTTTCTATCCTCTGGTAATTCAATAAAGCTATTGAAAATGGCCATTTACGGTTGATTTACCCAATAGGAATGGTGATTTTCCATAGCTATGTTAGTTTACCATTTTCCATGTGTTTTAATCCATTTCAGATGACGGCTTTTCCGTCCAATTTTCAACCTGGGCATCCAAGGATGAGTCAACCCTCGAATCGAATCCAAACATAGGTTTTTAATCCCTAATCATCCCCATATAAATCCTAGAATAATCCTATAACCCCTAGAACAATCCCAGTTTCCCATAGTATAATAACCCCTTTTTGTATCCCCTCTAATCCCCATCTGTTTCCGATCAAAGTCACGAAAAACTGGCGCCTCACCGTTGATCTCAGCCTTTCTGACGGGCTTGCGCCCATCCAGACCCGCACCGTCGAAGCCGCGGTAGGCCATGGAGGCCATGGCAGGAAATCGGCTGGATTTCCGACAGAAATCAAGATTTTAACCAGCCAGACCAGCCCCAAATGAGGATTGAAAATGATTGAAAGAGGTTTCTCCATGGTTTGTCATGGTTTCTCTCAAGATAGGAATGTAATGGAATGTAGCCCAAAAGTATGAAAGAAATTGAAAGAATTACCCTGGCCAAACCATGAGATCCAATGGGGGTTCTCAACTTTGAGACGACCCAAAACTATGGTTTTCTAAGCCGTGATTTTTTGTCATCGACCAAATGCTGGGACTCTAAGGGTTGATGCTTGATGGTGGACCTTCTCCTTAATTTTTTTTGCATTTCTCACAAGTTTTCTTTGCCGTCGGCAGTTTGGAAATCACGGCAGTTCATGGTCCTCAAGTGTTTAGCGAGCGGTGCCAGCTTGCGCCGCAGCTGGCCGCATGTGACCGGGTGACCCTCAAAGGACACAACCGAAAACGCCAATGATGTGATTTGACCCAAGGGTACCCTCTGGTAAACTAACATAACTATGGAAAATCACCATTTATAGTGGATTTTCCTATGAAAAATTGTGATTTTCCATAGCTATGTTAAATTACCAGAGGGTAGTTCGAGGTTCCAAAAAGACCAATGCGGAACTGCAGTAGAGAATAGTATAGAGATGCATCCCCACCATGTCCACAGAAAACTGTTCTCACGTGCATACAAATGAACAAAGGAAGGATGTTTGGGGAGGCACACCTGCAACTTGGCATCAGTGCCAAACAATTCCGAACTGCTTTACTCATACATCCATTCCCAGACAGTCCAATGGATTTCCTGTAATTCGTCAACAGTTCCTAATCTTTGTTGGGGGAAATTATGAAGGTCCGAAGCCGTGATCATCCCATTTTCCGTGATCATTCTCTGTACACTTTGTTGTTGGTGATTTGATCAACATTGATCATGTGTACATATATATATATATTATAAACATAAACTATAAGATACAGGTCATGTATATGATAATATCAATATATATATATATATAGAGAGAGAGTGTGTGTGGTTACATGTATATATATATATATATGTACGTCTTCGGTCCAAGTTGTAAGAACCAAACCACGCCACTATCTTCTACCACTTTTGGCACAACTTTGAGCGGATTACCTGCTGCATCGCTGCACAGTTCAAGACATCCACTCGTGTGAAACAGTGACAAATGGAGGGCTCAAAAAGGTGTTGGAACACCTAAAGTTATCTTTATAGGTAGGTTAGCTTATCTAAAGTGGGATCTGTGGTAGATGATATATCTATAGTTCATGTTACAAGAGATAATGGATGTGAATGGGTCAATAAACACTATACCCTGTATCTATTTTGGTTCCATCTTCATTACGTCCCAAGTGCTGTGTTGGCACTTTACATGATTCTGCATGGCCCGTCTAAGTAGCTGTTCATTGAGACCACCATTGGAACCATAGCAATGGAAACGATGTTACCGCAACTAGAGAAGCTACATACTACAAATTCTACTGGCCTGTAAACTACAGTGATCATCAGTGATATAGATATTTAGATATATTATAGATATATTATAGATATATTATAGATATATTATAGATATATTATAGATATAGAAATTCATGTTTTTTCCTAACGGATCTACATTCATCATTCCGAGTGGCTTTTCGATATTGTCTGCAAACCGCATGAAGTTCATTCATCGATCTCCATTAGGTTTCACCCACTTTGACTTTGATGAATTGTCCATTCAAATGTCCGGTCTGGGAAATTCCCAGGTAGCCGCGGTGTTTATCGAAACCCATTGAATCTCATGAACATATCCCAATGAATCACCATGTTTTCGGTTAAATCACCATTGAATCACCATTTTCGTTGGGTCAATCTCCTATGTTCTATCCCGCAGGAGGCTGGTTGGCCCATGGCCGTGCTCTCAGCAAGGGCCGCAGACCGCGCGCGGCCTGATGCTGATAGAAAAACATTCCCAACAGGGCGAAAGATTAGGGTATCATACAGATGCAATATATCAAACCATGAAAAATCAATAGATGCCTGGGAAATTAGGTACATATAGACATAGATATAGATGTGGATATGGATATTATGATAATTATAGATATAGATGTAGAATACAATCAACACATATTCACGACAAAGACAGAACAAGAGGATTTCCGTGAGATCCTTCCACCTAAACGAAACTTGGAGCGACTTCCCCGTAAACTTAGACCCACCTATTTCTTGTGCGACTGCATAAATTCCGTGTAGATGGCGATTATATCCACAACCGACCTGGTGAGGGTACCATCAAAACCTCAACTGGCAATCATGGCTGGTTGGAAAATCCCAATATGTATACAGAAATAATACTAGGAAAATGACTGCTTGAAACAAGAAAATCTTGTGGATTCTCCATGGTGGTATATTGACTGGAGGCAAAAAAAACCATGATTCGGAAAACTATCGATAGATGGGCCGCAGAAACCGGGTATTTACCGTTGCCAAGATTAAAAAAAAGTCAAGAGGTACACATACATATATACATGAATATATATATATATATGTATGTATATATATATATATAGTGTGCATAGATAGACAGACAGACAGACAGATAGGTAGATAGATAGATAGATAGATGGTTGGATGGTTGAGCTCTGCTTAGGGTCAGGCTCTTCGGCTTGGTGAGATTCAAAGTTCAGCACTGGAGAACATAGATAGATAGAATCAACAGTGTTTTGAGGATATTGATATTTTTGGGATATTGAATCATACTGATAGTTGATCTTGATGGATAGCTACTAATAATCAGTTGGGGTTGATAATTTATCCATCCATTTTGATCATATTGATATGTCCATTTTGATAATTCAAAATCACAGTGAACATTGAAATACATATTAATAATCTAATAGTTCAATATTATAATACATATTGAAATTTATCATAATAAATATTGACATACTATCATAATTGGATTATATTCAGATAGTATAAATTTATCATAAATGGATTAATATCAAAAATATATACATACTGTAATAAATTTGATAGTTCAGATTCCCAGTTTCGGCCGCCGATCGTTCGATGGAAGGCACCTTCCAACCAACATGCGGCTGGTCCATGCAGAGCCAAGTCTCAGTCGTGGCTGGAGTCACCAGTCGCGGCTTTCTGAAAAAACATAAGGGATAATAATGGGATAATAATGGGAAAATAGATGCTAATAGTGGTTAATCATCTTGAAAAAATCAGGTTTCCTAAGTCATTGGGGTACCCCCTAAAATCATCCAGTCGTCATGGATGAGTGGGTATTAAAAACCCATGGGTTTTGGTGGGGAATATTTGAGAAACCCCCTAATTTGATGCTGCTGTTATTGCTCCAATTCTGCGGATCTATACGGACAGGAATTGCTCGATGATCATCTTTCCATGTTTTGGGTCTTCGAGCTATCAACCAAAAGTTTCATGGTTCGCTCACAGTTGGTGGCTGCATTCTGAGTCCCGAATTCTATATGGTACTAGGTCACATGTACAGATGCCCTTTGCCGCTGAAAATAAACCGTTTGAAGCCACCAACCAAATATAGAGGTTTATCCAAAGGGCTGAAAAGAAACTCATTTGGAAGGCGGCAAGATGTAACAGGCTCTGTCACATACAATCAATGTTGGGAGACGCAAGATGTCCTCCAAGACCTTCAAGTGCAAAGAGTTCACTGCATAAATGCAAACACATGAAACTATCAAACTGAAACTATTAAACTATTGAACTATTGACAGGAGTTCTTGCCTAGAATTGTAGAAATTGAGCCAATGTAAACATTGGGGTCTACTATCCATACCTTTGTTTTTTTACCCCAAAAACTTGGGTTATCCCATCTAGAAATGGGTGAACTAACTATGGTTAATATCAATGGATTGGTTTAAGGGAAAATTGAAACCGGAAAGCCCCATAGTTAATGGGAAAATCGATGGTTTCTTGTAAATTTTCCCGTGAAAACCAATCCATTGATATTAAGTTCTTAGTTGTCCAATTATCCCATCAATATGGCTTATAACCTTGGTTATTGATTACTCCTCTGATGTTTGTAGATGGTTATATTATTAATTGTAATCTATGGTTATCCTATCCATGGTCCATTATCCATTTTTTGTAGACTATAAGATATAACTATGGCTTATGATCCACTTATGAATTGGACAATCAATATTAAGTGGGGTATTAACTTTGGCTATTCACTATGGTTATTCACCACTATGATGATTCTGACAACTAAGAAATGAATATAGTAGTTTGTAGATCATTGTATATTATATATCCACTTGTCCCATCTATAAATGGGATATGACTCTGGTTCTTAACCACGTTAGAGGTCCACAGCACCACCATGGCACGCTCCCTCGGGGCATCCGAACTTCTGCACTGCCAGGGCCAAGCAGGTGACCAAGGCCATGTCGGTGCCCTGAAACCATGGGAAAACCACGGGAAAACCCATAGGAAATCCATGGGAAAACCATGATTTTAGTGGGAAAGTCATGTAGATTCATTAGGAAAGACATAGCTATATGGGAATGTGATGATTTATGAGTGATGATATATATATATATATATATGGATGAATATACTAATGTGGGATATGTGTATACATATATATATACTGGAAATATACAATATCACAGTAATATGGGATGACTTATGAGTGATGATAATTTAATGTGATATATTAAATGGGAAAGTGATGATTTATGAAGGTTGTGAGGATTTTATGGGGAAAATCACTTAAAGATTTAGGGGGGTTCAAAAAAACATCAAGAGTACCCCCAATTTGCCAATAGCTGGTTGCTTCATGGAAAATCCATCTACCCTCCGGTAAACAAACATAGCTATTGAAAATGGCCATTGAAATAGTTGATTTTCCCAGCAAAAATGATGATTTTCCATAGTTATGTAAACGTTTACCAGAGGGTTTTTAAATGGATGACTGGGGTACCCCCCATGACCAAAGGGAAACCTCCAGGATGAAAATGGGCGAAGACGCGCCTCCTTCACCCAAAGGCCACCACGATGACCACGCGGCGCCACTGCGGCCTGAGCCAGGACATTGATGATATCTGTAAAGAATGGGAAAGATTAATATAGGTTTTTTCAAATGTTAATATGAATCAAAGTTTTGATCTGGATGTTGGTCAGCTTGTCTTTCTCTTCTCCAGAACTGATGGTGAACGGGGATTCATGCACAAGTTCCAGCGTTGAGAACGCGGTGTGGAAATCGCATCTGTGGTTGAGCTTGTACTCTCAACGACAACATTCAGCCACAAACCCCATCGATCTCCTATAGCTTTCTGCATACATCCACTAATGTATGTGGTACTTCTCTCGGAACTGCCGATGGGTCAATACGTTGCCGGTTGGGGACTGCGACAGCAGTGCTATCGCTCGCCGCGATGACGTTGCCCTGGCGCTCTCGCCGCAAGGCACAGGTTGATGTGCATTGAGTGGACCCTCAAAAAAAATAAATGAAGAAGTGCATGCGCATTGTTCAAATAGTTGGATTGTTACTCTAGATAGTCGTAGTACTATGCCCATGTTAATTGCTAGTTTGAGGGTCAGGGTTTTTCGTGTATAATTATATGTAGTATATACAGAGATGTCTGGTTGGCCTTCCATCCCTTTTCTATTGCCGCTTTAACTCTTGCCTGCAGGGTAGCAGCCGCTGTCGAAGTTTTGGGCGCTCACACTTGTGTCATCTCCCGTATCTCTGTGCATTTTTTTCCAACCAATCCAATTTTTAGTGTACATTTGTTGACATACATGGTACTTACAGTAAATAAATGCACAATGTACATATGTCCTGTACATTCAATACATGCTGCATGTTCTGCTTGGGCACGGCCTGCGACTCCGTGATGCGATCCACCTGGCCAGTTGTTTTTGGATCGAGCTACTTGCAATGAAGCCAAAAGGCAAGAAGCTGGGAAGGAATACCATATATATTACGGATATAAAGCTGTATAATGATATATATATATATATTAATTAATTAATTACAGTAATTAATTCATTAATTAATATATTGATAATATATTGATATATATATATATATCCCAAAATGTCCCAAAGTTTCAGAACATCAGACGAAAGTTACAGCACCCTTCACAGCTCTGAAATATCTCCTCAAATGTGGCCAGTCATTTTGCTGAAATGTCTCTAGAAATTTACATCGAAAGAATCATCCATCATCCGAAAATTAAAAGTGTTGATTTACAACTATAGTAAAAACAAAGATTGAACAATAGTCATTCGCCTATATTTATTGTAGGATTTCCCATAAAAATTCACGAAATTTGAGCAGAATTGCCCAGTAATTCGCCAGTCATTCACCACAAAATTCTGCATCTTTTGTGGTTTCCCCATCCCGCGCCATCCGGCACCTCCGTCCCCTTGGTAAAGATCGTCATCGCCGGATCCGGTCTTTGGATCTGACAATGCGAAGCAAATCTATCGTTCCCCAACGAAGAAACAAATCTATGGGGTGTTCATAACAAACCATGGGGATTTGATGTGGCTAGATATAATCCCTATGGATCCAAACACTGTCCGAGAAGGTACTTAACCCCTAAATCATACCCCAAGTACTTCCTAAGAAGGTAATTGGATCCATAGGGAATATGAAATCATCAAGATTAACCATTATTACTCATGCATAACAAAATATATGGTATAATATAAACTATGGGAATTTTTGATGTTCAGAATCTATTGGTATATAATAATTATCTATGGCAATCTACCTTAGGCTTCAGGTATGGAATATGTATCAACATTTACCAAAAATACTCCAAATGTAGGTTTTTTTTACAGCATTTAATTGGAGCATCTGAGATATGATTTATGATATGGGAGTATATACATTATAAATATATATAATTATATATATTCAACTTATATAACCTGATATGATATCCGTATATATCGCTGCGATACCTGAAAATGGGGGATTGACCCCCCAAAACACTTGCCGTGAGATCCTGGCCCCGTCCATGGGGCTGTAGTAGACGAAGAACGTCCTTGGGATTTGTTGCGCAAGCGAAGCTTGGAGTGGGTGAAGAAAACGAAGTTAGATTGTTCGGAGTTCGAGTTCGGATAATTATAGTTATACGTATATAATATATATATATATATATATCATTGTATATCCCGCAATCCTACTGGCTAAGTGGTTATCATATCAATATCCCTATGTGCGCTTATGGGGTCAAGAAACGGGTTAATCGAGAGGTTCTACACTTTGTTGTCCCGTTCTACCCCGCTTTTCAAACGTTTGCATATGCAGTTAAGTTTGTCATATGCCTATTCTGTCATATATATATAGTTCCCTTTCTGTTGGCTCTTTTGTCCGATGGTTGAAAGTAGTTTCCACAAAGACTGGATCTATACTTATAAAGATATGTATTCCAGTCCGAGCAAGTAATCATCATTGCCAGGCCTGATGGTGGGCCCCCCTGAACTTAAATTTTGCAGCTATGAATGCGAATGTGTATGAATTCAACCCTTCCTTCACAAATGTGTCATTGGGGATAATCCACCCTCTTATCGGAGAAGCAAATGAAAATAATCAAAACCATCAACCAGAATGATATTCCCATGGTCATCAGCAATGTTTATTGATAGTGGAATGATACCCAAAAAACGTCTCCCGTATTCCACTGCGCGCCCTTTGTACCCATCAGCTGTACCCAGCTTACATGGCCAATCTTAGATACCCTACATGTTTGAATCATTTTGAATCAGTTTACCGAACTATCCATCAGTCCGTTTCCCCAGATATAAAAATTCTGAGTCAGTCAGTCAGTCAGTCCCCCATTTCATGCTTCATGCTTACATCCCAATTTTTGTCATAGTCAAATCACCATTTTCATGTCTAAAAATCCCCATGAAATCCTGATTCTTGCTGCTTCAATCATCATTGTTGGTGAATTTCCCCATTTTTCACATGGAAATCACAGCCCAGTTGGTCATCCAGTCATCCCGATCCACCTAGTTTTACGCCCAGCATCCCCGGACCAGCTGCTGGCATGATCCAGGCCTTTGGCGCCCGGCCGTGTTGGAGCAATTTTCGTTCGCAGGTCATATGAAATCTGATTGAAGCGGCCAGCGATCAAGAAAAATGATGAAGGTTCATGCAATGTGGGGCCCCCCAGTTATAAGTTGGTTTATAAATCCCATTAACTATAGTTATAAGTTATAAGTATCATAAACCATAGTTATTGGAGTTATAAACCAACTTAGCTATCTAGGGGCCCCACATTGTGGTGATTTGACTTCACCAATCAGTTGCTGGTGATCTGCTGGTGATTTGACCAAAATGGTGATTTTATGGTGATTGAATTGAACTTTCCAAGGGATTCAATGGGATTACCTTTCGGTGTCCTCAAACCTGGGAAATCCCCGAGCACAGGTTGGCTGGGAAAATCATCTAACGAAATGGATGTTCCAGCAAGCTCACTTCGATTACCGGGTACAGTATGATAACTCAATTTCATTTGATTGTATTTTTGAATATAATAAACTGTCCAACTTTATGACTGATAATTCAATTTCAAGTGCTTTGTAAAAAAAAATATGGATGGCACAGAAAAAGAAAAAACTAGCATAGCTTCAAGGATCGTTTAACACGAATAAGAATAAAATCGGTTCACAAGTTGTTTGCTGGTTATGAGAATACCCCACTTGAAAAACGATCCAACATGGCGGGGCAATGCCAAGCCATACGTCCAAATGGGCTCGGGCGAAGATGGGAAAGCCATACGTCCAAAGATGATTTTTCCCATGATTCCATGTGGAACTCATGCATGATACCCATATGCTCCATGTATGGTATATTTACCTACATTTGGGTGATTTTTAGGGCACATGTTGGTAAATATTCCATACATGGAGCATATATGAGCATATGGGATATGATATGATATGGAAATTTGACAATTCCAACTGCTCAAATCCCAATTGCTGCTTGAATCCATTCCCAATTCTTGTCAATTCCGATCTGGCTTTGTCCAAAAATTGGTTAAGCCCTCTAAAATGCCTGTTTTCAGAGGGAAAGTAATTTCTAAACCATCAAAGCTGTTTTTCCCCCACCCCACCCCAAAAAAAAACCTCCGCATATTAAACCTGCGAATTCTTTTGCTCACTGTTGTGAACTTCCGTCAAATATCGTAATTCAGCATAGCTTGCTGGAATATCCACTTAGTTGATGTTAGATGAATTTCCCATTTAATGCTCCGCTCCGTCCATCATAAATCCCATTCTCTTACGTATGTATGTATGTATATATATATATACATATCAATACAATTACATATAATTACCAATCACTTCACCATGAAATCTCCGTTATCAAACATGTGGTTGGAAAACTCTTAGTGGCTTTTCATAGCTCGGGGGAAAATGGACTTTCGCTCAGCTCATTGCTCTAAGCTATCTAGTTGCAGCTTAAAGAAGGGTTAAGTATATACTGTAATATCTGGTATGAAACATACATTTCCATAGCACATGTGAAACATCATATATTACATCATATGAAACCACATTTTTTTTACCACTGGTTGGTGGTTTCAACCTACCCCTCTGAAAATATGAGTTCGTCAGTTGGGATTATGAAATTCCCAATGTATGGAAAGTCATAAAATGTCATAAAAGCCATGTTCCAAACCACCAACCAGACCACATGAAACACTTGGTTGATAACTGCTATCCTCATGGTGCCCGGACGCAGGTTTCCTCGTGGGGGCCATAGACATCCACACGGTGAAGCGCCACCTGCCTGGCATGGAGGGTTGGGCCGTGAAAAATGGTGAGTTAAATGGTTCTTTGATCTTTTTCAATGGTGATAAAATGCTGGTAAAATGCCATTAAAATACCATTTCAATGGAGGTCTTATCAGATGCTGATGGTGATTTAAAAAATATAAAAAGAACATTGAATGGCATGTTAATGGCATTTAGTTTTTTTTTGGATGGTATTTGACTAAGCCATGAAAAATTGTGCTTTCGCGGACGTGACAAGAATTGAACCATCAACCTAGAACATGGGCTGAATAAACGCCTCGCTGGTGTCAGCCATAAGACACCAAGGGTTCCGATGCAGACATCGATTCATCATTCTATCAAGTTTAAGAATTGGTTAACACAGGTAGATTATAGATGATTATAGAATTCTCGTCCTTCTTGGTGGTATCAACAACGAACGTACATTGGCACTTGCTGAACTCCAAAAATCGAACGTTGCTTCCCAATCTGGGATGAAGAAAACCCTCTGGTTCATGTTAGAGTTCAATGGGTCGACTTCCACTCATATTTGGATGCCGCTCGAATACCTAAATATTGAGCCATAGTCACCCACATGTGTGAACAATCCCGCAACGAAGACTATGTTTAGCTGCTTGGGATTAACATGGATTGACATCCCCAGTTATGGCAAATTAAAGTATATCCAAGGTAGACCCAGAGCTGCTGATCATAGACTAGAATTGTGATACTCAAAAAAAATAGTTGTAGTTATACAAGGTCGGGCCCCCTAGATAGCTAAGTTGGTCTATAACTAATATAACAAGGATTTATGGCAAATATATCTGTATCTTGTCACAGTTAATGGGTTTTGTACAATAATACAATAGTATTACAACTGGAGAAGCCAACCGTGTGTTATCAGTTATCAGAGAAAACTATACTATATAGAAGGTATTGTTACTTGGATGGGCCATGGAGTTAACGAGTTAACTAGTTAGTGAATGGATTATAATTGGGATATCTCGTCGGTTATTACCCACTTACAAAGCGGGAATCGCCAATCCCATGGCCCATCTCCATCAATAGATCAACATAGTTAGACATAGATTGATCGTGACATCTTTGACTATGAATAGATAATATTATCCCACTATTCATAGTTAATAATATCAATAGCACATCATATATTTACTAATATTATCCCACATCATATACCGTTAATAATTGATCATATCCCACGATTAATAATCTAAGTGGGGTACTTTTTTTCGCAACCGGACTCCACGGACTCCAGGCGCACCTCTTGAGACTGCGACTAGCTCCATTGGGCCTCAGTGAAGACTTCCTGACCAGTACAGTAACTAGATTCCTAGATGTAACTAGGGGATTTGTAGCGAAAGCACCAAAATGATGGAGGTGTTAACCAAGCATAATGGAGATAATGGGGATATAGTGGGGATATAAAATCGCAAATTGTTTGGTTGCTAACCTTTGGAAAAAACAAACAGAAGAGGTTCAGCACCAGGTCTAAGCAATGGGAAATATCTTCACAAGGAACGCTCGGGCAGCAAACGAATTATCTCATGATAGCGAGATGCTGCCCATCAATCGTTCGGAACATCTCTGAGAAGAAAAAGAACAGATGGCTGGATTTTGATGCTACTACGTTCCAACAAAGTTTGATGTCTAGCTGGTTGCTTTAAAAACATCCTTCAGCCACTACCATGGATCATCTATTGTCATCTTCAGCCATGGTGGTGTGGCTATGGGTTATTCCTGGCGAACAAAGTCAGACTGTTGCAGAGCTGATGTTCGATTGGTTGATATGGGATAGCAATGGGATATTGGTTTATATACTTTTTATATGGTTTTACATGGGTTCTTAGTTCTCTCCCAGATGATGAGATAACAGAACTAAGATCAACGACCTCAGACGGCTTTTTTGGATCGCGAAAAATCCATCCCGCGAGCTCTGCGTTCGGCGCAACTTTCTTTGTGACAGCGCAACTCTTGAGGGCCCAGGGGGCAGCTGAGGAGCAGAACTTCATATCAATCCTACATGGCCACGAACGTTGTAGGGGTTGAAACATGTTGAGATTAAAAGATCGTGGATTTTGACGATGCCAAACAAATTCAACTATGGGGGAAATCGATCCTGACATGGGAAATCAAATTCATCCATTGTTTTGGTCATAGGGCTACTGGTACATATGGGATGACAGGGGAAATTGGGTCAAGTTTTTTTGGGGTACCCAAACATGAATGCTTGAGTCAAAAAAATGACCAAGATCTGCCCTTGACAAGCCACCTGGGTCAACAACACAGGTGGAAAAAAAAATGTTGGAAGCTGATCTACGCAAAAAAAAATGAAACGGTGTTGTTCTGTGATTCAAAATTATTGAAATGGAGTTTTGCTGAAATGGGGGTTTCCTTACCTCTAAATCATCCCTATTTTAATGGGATGTTCCATGATAGACCAACCATTTGGGGTACCCCCATTGATGGAAACCCCAAATATGAACGTCTCCTCTTCCGAGAGGGGGTCCTCGAAGCTCAGTGAGTGCACATCAAACTTCTGGAACTTTCTCCTAGGTGGAAAACAGACCCCATTGAGGCTCTATAAGGACAGAAACCATCCAGAAGAAATTTGCACATCGTGAATTTAGCTGTGGATTTCTTTGATTCAGTGCCCATGAATCGTCTCAATGGCAAGTGATTGAGTTGTAATTGCTACTGCAGAAACAGACTTGACATGCTCGCCTTCCAGTCTTGCAGTCTGATGCAATCATTGTATCTCAAAGCTGGAGAGTCTACATCATGGATCATCATGGTGCTCAACCGAGATTCAGCCGTGCTGTTCACACCGGTCTAGGATGTGCAGCATCATCTTGCGCACCTGTTTGATCAAGGCATGTCCATGGCAAGTAACGCAAGAGTTGCACCTGACTTAACTCATGCAGCAGCAGGCAATATATACACCATACAACATGAATGCTTTACTAAATCATAGTCATAGCTTGCCATAGTATCAGATTTTTATGATTTTATGATATGCAGACAAAATTAGATATGGAGGTTTCCATAAATGGAGATACCTCAATAGCTGGCTTATAATCGAAAAATCCCCAAAAAAGGATGATTTTCCGAAAATTACCCCATGGTTACCCCCATTTTCGGAAAGCCTCAAGTGACAACTTGTCACTGGCCTTGGTGTCCCGTCATCCCGTCACTGCCTCCAGCGGTGCGACTGAGGTGCCCGTAATTGACCATCTCCATGACCCCAGAAGGGTATGGGAAGGGTCAAAGTTACGATGGCCAAGTTTCCTACAAGTATAGTATTTTGATAAATTCCTATACCCTCTGGTGAACTAACATAGCAATGGAAAATGGCTATTTATAGTGGATTTTCCCATTAAGAATGGTGATTTTCCATTGCTATGTTAGTTCACCAGAGGGTAGTATTAATAAATTATAATAAATGATTGATAGGCTGATTCCACAGGCCGTTAGATATCTGGAAGGTTCTCAGCAGCGCTACACTACAGGGCCAACTTGACTTTCCAGTTGGATATGATCGGTGGTCCATGCCACCGTCGGAATCTTCCCGGTCATTTCCAATCACTAAATGGGGGTGTCCGAAAATAGTGCCCCCAAAATTTCATGGTTTATCAATCAATTCCCCATTTTCAGACCCCAAAATATGTTTTGTATCTGCCAAGCCCAACGCGGAGTGAGCGTTCATCGCAACAAAGACCGATAAGGATGAGAATGGATGCACTACAATAGCATTGTTTAACACATACATGGGATTACACGGGTACCTATACAGACAATATTATATATATATATATATACGCTGTAGTTTTATGTTTGTCCAAACTGGAATGCCAAATAGTTTTTTCTGGGTTTGGAAAATGATGACCTAAAAAATAGAACTTAGAGGCTTAGAGGACAAACGGTGACAAACCCATTGATAACCAATGCTTTTCACAGACTTACCGTTGCACCGTTGTGATGGACATGGGCAATGCTGGGTTGCCCGCGCTCCCTGGCCCTTTTTCCTCCGCAGTGGCTGATGGTTCCTGATCTCCATTTGGAAATGCCGGGCACCCGCCTTTCTCTGGGTCTCCCCAAGCAACAACTGTCCCATCCTGAGGGGTTTGGGTCAGAACGACCCCAAGAAATCACTCATCTTCGAGGATTCCCCACATAGACCTAGGGACCTAGTGACCTAGTGGTTTACCCTATAACCCATATTAACCCATGGAAAAAGACTGAAAAAAACTCAGTCAAAGTCAGGCATCTGCAAGGATGGCAGCAAAAGCTGCATCTGTGGCTTGGATCTGCTGGACATTTTTTAAATGCTCCTGGACCTTGCAGTCCCCACCAGCTGCCGGATCACCCCAGGCCACCACCTGGCCATCGCTTCGGATCGCAGCGAAGGCTCGGGTGGTGGATTGGATGTGCTGAATGGAGTGAAGTTGAGCTTGGACGCTACCACCTGGGCGGGTGAAGGCATGTCTTTAGCCGCTTTAGCCTGGTGAAATGTAGAAAGATGCCTTTGCCATCCAACTGATAGTGTGAACCAGAAAAGCTGCACTGGGCTTGAAAGATCATGACCCTTGCATACCCTTGCTAGGTTTCACCACTGCTCAAAAGTTGCAGATCAGGTACAATCACCCCCCGCGCTGGGATCTCCCCATGCCACCACGGTCTGATCCTCCAGAATAGCAGCGAACGCTGAGTGGGTCGCCTGAACTCTTTGCACACCCTGTAGCTGATCTCTCACGCAGCTACCTGATTAGTGTTTCAGCCTCCCATCCAAAAATTTCTAAATTGGAACCATCATCCCGGATGGAAAATATGAAACAACCAACCACTTCACAGCTGTTTTCAATAGACCCATGATACCCATGGTTTAAGTTGAGCCTCTGTCACCGCCCTTGTCCGTATGGCCCCAGGTCACCAGTTGTCCATCGGCCAAAATCGCCGCAAAAGCACCGGAGGTGGCCTGCACATCTTCGACATTCCTCGGTGAAGGCCAGGGGATGGGATCCGATAGCGGGGGTTGGAACATATGAAGGTGTCGTAAGTCGTGGTGATACCCCATTTTTTAATTTTAGTACTGAAACCAATGGTGACTTGGGGATCCCTCAATTTAAGAAACCTCCATCTTATTCTTTTATGTGTGTGTCCATGTTTTTGAGTGATGGAAAATCAAAACAGATCTGAAATAGTCCATTTTTAGGGATGGAAAATCAGAAAAGATCTGAAATCACCCATGAGATTCCTCAACTGATCCGAGACCTCACTGTTGTCTCCACCCAACTGCCGCAGGCCCCACGTCACGACTCCTCCCTCGCTGTTGATCGCAGCGAAGGCACACTGGGTGGCCTGGATCTTCCGCACGTTTCGGAGCTGATCCTGCACTCTGCCACCTGCAAACATCACCAGCGGACTCCACAAATAACCCACTGGATCTCTACAAGGTGGAAACATTGTAGTTAGCTAAGTTGGTTTACAATCAGGTTATATGCAAATCTACAGTGAACGGGTGTATAAGTCAACATAAATAGGGAGCCACCAAATCTACCTGCAGTCAGCTCTTCCAACAATCCAAGTCACAGTTGCCACCAGACGACTGTAAGCCCCATGCAACCACTCCGACATCTTCCAGGATGGCCGCGAACGCCGCATCTGTCGCCTGCACCGCAGCCACCTTCACCAACTGATCCTGCACTCGACTGCAGTCGCCACCGGCGGAAGCATCGCCCCAAGCCACCACTGTGCGGTCAGCACGGATTGCCACAAAGGCGGAGTCTGTCGCCTGGGCGAAGATCTTTGATACCAACCCACAACAAACTTAGTGGCAAAAAAAAGGGTTTGACCAACAAACATGAAGCTTCAACCAACAAAAGTTGTAAGATTACGCGCAAACACCCCGATTCGCCCACACCCCTTCTATGCTGTAGACTTGGGGATATCAAACGTTAGACTTTACATTCAATTGGGAAGATCAACAAGGGTATTTAGGGAATATAAATTTCCCACCACCGTTAAACTTCTACATTCATTGAAGATCTGCAATAAGGGTTTAATTCTCCCACCCCCGTTACACTTTTACATTCATTGAAGATCTTCAATAAGGGTTTAATTCTCCCACCCCCGTTAAACTTCTACATTCATTGAAGATCTTCAATAAGGGTTTAATTCTCCCACCACCGTTAAACTTCTACATTCATTGAAGATCTTCAATAAGGGTTTAATTCTCCCACCCCCGTTAAACTTCTACATTCATTGAAGATCTTTAATAAGGGTTTAATTCTCCCA